TATATATATATATATATATATATATATATATATATATATATATATATATATATATATATCAAACGCAAAACTGCTTAATGGAAGGGTAGATCTGATCCTGCACACTTGCAAACCGCACATATGAACCCTAATCCTAAATAATCTAAATCTTGGCTCCAGATAAGAGCAAAGGATTAGTGAATACAGGTGTATAACTAAGAGTTGGGAGCATCTGTTCTCCATGAATCATTTGCAAGGGAAAAGGAACCATTACCTTCTACAAGCATGAACTTAAAGGCAGCAAAGCATCTACCTTAGCGATGGAGGCATATATATTTAGCCGCTTGTTTGCTGATGCAGCATCATCAAGATTCTCATCGACGACGACGACGGGGCTCCCCGGACGTTCGTGTGAATCTTGATGATGCCGCAGCTGCAAGCACCGGCCGGCTGCTGCTCCGACAAACTGGAACGCAATTAACCGAGAGAAGAGCGCACCGGAAGCTGTATACTTCAAGGAAGGCTGCTATCCCACCCCAAGATTTGAGTCGAGGAGATGAAATAGCGAGAGAAGAGGAAGACATGAGCACTGCGACAAGTACTGCAGCATCCCACGCGAGGTGACATCTGCGGCTGGAGCCTGGATTTATGGACCCACAGGCGGAATCTTGCAGCCTGTTGCAGTGCTCTTTGAGTTGTATCGAGGCAACACCAGCGACAGATCCATTCCCAGGAACCAGCGGGTTTAAAAGCCAGGGCAAAAAAGAGAGAAACAAGGCCTGGATCGAAACCCTCATGCACCTGATCACTTCCCACAACCAAAGATAATCCTGTGTTCGGGTGAGAAGGAGGAGTTCCTGTCACCTCCGAAACCTAATCGACTTCCCACCCGAGACTTACACGTTTCCACCTTAAGAACCACGGTTTGGGGTCTCAGAGGATAGAAAGATGATGGCAACTTCAAAAGTGAGGAGAGAGAGAGAGAGAGAGAAGGAGACAACGTTGGTGAGAACGATCGATAGAGACCGACCACGAGAGGCGTGCATATATAGCTTAATTTCCCCGTCCAGGGATCTGTATCTGTATCCCAGCCCTAATGTACAAATGCTTCTGTACATGTGCATAAAATTCTGCTGCACTGCTCTCTGTCCCTTGTCACCTCGAAGAATTCAACTTCAACTTTCATCACGTTACGGACACTATACATCTGCACGTACAAAGCCCACGAGAAAGAGAAAGAGAGAGAGAGACATACGCAGGGCTGTACGTGTTAGAGTGTCGGAGACAATAGAATGCATCTTTTGTCAACAAAGGCCCGGTATTTGCTCCCTCCTTTTAAGGCTTTTTCCGATGGCACGCTCCTTTTAGACTCGAGCATTGCTGGTGCTCCTGCCGATCGTAAGACTCCACCACGGCTTAAGAACCAAATCATCATTCCAAGGCATTTAGATTCTCCGGTGGGGGCTTAACACTCTCACCAGCTTTATGTTGTTTATGTTCTTCCTTGTGCTCCTCGCAATGGGAAGATCAATGGCAATAACTAATAACGATCCCTTTATACGTATCACACATAGTTGGACCTGTTCATCGGTATAGAGACGCCCAATCCAAGCCAAAACCTTTGGTTGTCTCTCGGCGTCCTTCGTCGCGGAATGCACTTCTCTACCGACATCATTTAGCCGCAGAAAATAATAGGAATAGGTGGGTGGATGGCTGTGCCTTAGCAGTCACACCTTTCTTTTCGTTGTGGGCAATAACCTAGTACCATAACACATAGTAATTATATTCTCGGGGACCAGCCTCCATCATCATCATCACGGTTATCGGATGATCTTGGCATCCTATGTTCATGCTGCCAATAATTAACCTGACTCATGTCCTTTCTTCTCTTTTTGCTTGAAACCAACCTGGTTTAATATCCTAGTAATGGCTGGAAATGGAACTGACATTTGAGTCAAATCCGCATAGATTGCTATATAATAAAGAGACACGAAAGAAGAAGCTGAAATATTATGGCATGCACGAACAAGTTCTCCCCTAGTTTTGTGAGATTCCATCAGAGGACTGACTCTTGACATGATCTCTGGCTCACGTGACATCCAGTTTCTGTCATTTGTTTGAGGCATTTAAAGATAGATAGATAGATCCATGCAGGAGAAAAACTAGGTGATTATGATTAGCTACACTGTCATCGTCATCATCATCATCAACCAAAACTTTTGTGCATGTATCGGAATGGCTTTTGAGTTTTTGACTCTGCCTTGCAATCGAAAGCCAAATGCCAAAAGCCAAGGCAGGTCGTGTGAAGAAGATATACGATGCTGGAGACAGACATAGGCACGTGGAGACAGTCCATATGCTCGATTATAATTCATGAGAGCACATGATTAGCTCTTATTTTAAAGGCTAACCATGTGATTGCGTGCACATAATCATATGCTTATACGTTGAAACACCACAAGAGTTAATCAAGCTGTGCTTTGCTTCTCCACACCTCCGCGGTCTGATCAAGACGATGATTGTGCCGAGTAATTTAATCGTTTACGCAATCGATTTGTATGTTAGATTTCAAATAAGTGAATCTCTCATCATTCAGAGATGAGCAATCTAAAAATGAAAGGGGAAATTTTGACCATTTATGAGATGGTTGTTGACCAAGGAATCTTACAAGAGAATTCTAATCAAGCAGTGGGCATTCGTCATGGAGAACAATTCCACGATGCTCTTTTAGATCGAGAGAATACAAATGCAATTATCATTTTTATTTCATCTTTTTCCTACTTTGGATGCGTTTAACGTGTCAATCAATCCATTCCCCCATCTATTTTATTTGCATTACTTTTCAGAACTCTAAAACACCACATTTTGGTGCCCCCTATTTGGAACTCGTGTGGAAAAAGTCACACGTCGTAAACACGGTTCAATCTGACCTCACATCCTATGCCACACAGTGTTCTTTATTGGAAGCCAAACTCAAAACCCAACAACAACTCAGTCAAATCAGATTATTCGCTGATTGTATGCAAATGAGGTTGTGTTTGTGTAAAACCAATTATAATTCTTTCATCATTAAAATAAGTAATAGAAAAAAGTTATCTATTTTGGTCCTCATACTAATTTATTCACCATCTTTGTTGTAATGCATATTTTTACTTTGATCCATACCGATTAATACGATCTTTAAACACAATAATTTGTTGATTAGTCTATCGTTACATAAGTGATTAAAAATACTATAATTTTATTATTAAAAAAATCGATTATATATATATATGTAATAATAATAATAAATAAATAAATAAGGAAAACGTATAAGAATACTCGACGAGTACGACTGCGACGACAAAATGCTGCTATTTTCGGTTATTTGAATCTCCCAAGTCGGACACGCGATTGCTTGGGAGATGTCCGACGCTCACCTCGCCGCCGTCCCTCGTCGTCTCAACTACCCGGCTTTCCCGCGGCACCACCCCGCCCTTCGATCCTGCCTTCCCCTTCCCCGCCTCAACCGCAAAAACTCCCTTTCCCCGCCTTCGATCGGTACTATCTCGCTCAGCTGGGCTGTTTCTTTCGCCGCCGCCGGTGGAACGACCGCCTGGAGTGCGAAGGAGGTGACCCCGTCGCCGGAAGAGGAGGAACCGCCTACCTCGGTCGCGCTCGAGCCTATCGTCAGCGAGGAGCATTTCGATCGGATCATCGCCGAGGCGCATCAGCTCGAGGAGCCGATCGTTGTTCTATGGTTCGGTTTTGAGCCTTTGGATTCTTCCTTCTTTTGTGCTTTTTCCTTTTATTTGCTAGGTTTGTTTATTACATTATTTTTGGACTATACAATTTCAAAACCCTAGTTTTAATTGAGGTTTATGAGCTTTTTTTTGGTGAATTTGCCCGCTCTACGTGCTCATATTGTGCCAATAGGTTCCTCATTGCCTGTGTCTATAAACAATAGACGATACTTGCAGTATATATCTTTTGAAGTTTCCTTTTTATAATTTTTGGAATATAAAAATAAACTAGAAGAGTAAATTATGTGCAATTGTTATATTTCTGGGTCTTGATTTCCATTGTTTATTTGTGCTTCTTGACTTCTAATCTGTGCTAATTTTTTTTGTTATTCTTTTTATTTTTTTATGATAATGCCTTAGTGTTTATTGATTGAATTATGTGATTATGTTTGAATGGCTTAGGTTAAATTTGTTTCCATGTGTTGGTAACAACCCATACATTTTGCATTTGGTTTGATGCAAAAAATGAAAAGGTTTCTGTTCGTTAACAGTTAATTGTAAATATTTCTAAGAAACCTTTGGACTATAAGCTGCCTATGTTTATTGAGATATAATTGTAAATATTTCTAAGAAACCTTTGGCCCATGAGCTGCCTACTCTGTTTATTGGCATACAAAACTGTGAAAAGCTTCTCAGATGTAGGAACATCTCAGGTCATGGTTTGTGAGAACGACTTCTACATGGCATGGATGTTCTGATCTTCCTAATTTGTTCCCACTGTTCTAAATCTTTCATTACATCTTGATGTGTAGGATGGCTAGCTGGTGCAGAAAATGTATATACTTGAAACCCAAATTGGAAAAATTGGCAGCAGAGTACTACCCAAGGTTGGATATCGACTTTCTTTTAATAGATTCATTTTTCTATACTGGAAGTTCATTCGCTAGTACAATATTTATTATTTCTTTTTTTCAGAGAAGTTTACTTAACTTGGTTAGAACACCCAAACCCCTTTACTATCTTCATTATCCTTGCTCTATACAATTCATGGAAATTTGTTGGGTTCTTACAGTCTTGGATTTGTTTTATGTTTCAGCATTAGGTTCTACTGTATCGATGTGAACACAGTTCCACATAGGCTTGTGAATCGTGCTGGAATCACTGTAAGGCTTAGTTTCATTCAGTTTCTTCTCTATTTATAATAATATTCTGAATGAGTTCGTGCGATTACTTTTCTATTTATTATCCATTGTTAAATGTAAAGTTTGTATACCTTGTCAATAACGCATTCCATTAGTTGGAAAAGTTGAAAACTATTACTTTCAAGTGTGGTTGTTGGAGAGTCAGTAATCTGCTATAAGCATTTTGAGACAGAAAAAACGAGTAGTTGACATGATAATTAGCTAATTTTATGTCAAACTTGACTTTAGCATAAAGAAAGACATTTGATGACCTAACTTATAATTGCATGAAAATAGATAGGGAATAAATAAGTTAGGTACCCAGAGGGGAAAACCAGTTCTGGGTTATTAAACGGAGCTAATGTCTTCTGCATAAGGAAATTATAGCCTTCTGAATCATATTAGAGCTTAGCACCATGATCTCTTGGCGGGATTCGAGCTTAGGACCTTGCAATGTACTGTCAAAATCTTTATCAGTTAAGCTAGCTGACAAATATGATATTGCTTTAAGACAAGGATATGGTAATAGACTGTCACACATACAACATGTTACAAAGAAATCATTGGATTGGTTATTCTGAAATTAGTAGAAAAATTTGCAGCAGAGATTATATACTCTCCTCCAAACTGTCGTTTTTTCAGACAATCAGAATCCATGTGCCAATCTGCTTTAGATAGCGTCCAGGTCTTTGTGTGCCTGTGCTTCTTCATAGAAAGTTGTGAGACTCTCTTCGGCGGTTTCAATGGTAAAAGAATAAATTTTATAATTATGGAACAATCTTTGTGATACATATGATATTTGTGTTTAACTTGGTTATATCTATGCTTATGCATACGCCAATGTTCTAATGTGTGTGCACAATTTTGTATGGTCTCGCAATAAATTTTTGATGTTTGGATTTTTTTAAACAATGCTGTTTGGATCAGCATATAACATGTTTTTCCAAGCAAATTAGATGTCTTCTTCACTAAAGCAGACAATTGATAAATGTTCCAAAGGATGGTAGACGTCCGTTATATGGTTGTCTCAAAATGTTGACGAGATACTTGAGATCTTCATCATAATTCGTATCTGTTTCTATGTTGTCGTTCAATTCTTCTTCAGCTAAAGCACATAAAAATTGTCTTTTATGCCTCTACCAGTGTCACTATGTATTCCCCTCCCTCTTTTGTACTTGACAATGCACATTAGTAAAAGGTTTTATCTTTGTTATTGATGCTTGGTTTTATTCTTGCAAAACATGGAACTCGAGCAGAAGATGCCAACGATACAGGTAAAACTAACATCCCATCTTTAATAATATTTAATGACCGTTTACATAATTTTCTATTAATTACTCATGATTTCCTCAGTTGTGGAGGGACTCTCAGAACCAAGCTGGGGTAATTGCTGGATACAAGGCATGGATGGTTGTCGATGATGTTCGTAAGATGATTGACAATGAGGATTGATCTTGTGCACTCTCCCCCTCTCCCCCCCCACCCCTCACACTGTCTTTTGTACTGCTTTGTCCTGTTTGATGGAGATAGGGAGGAACAGCAACTTTATTTTCATTGAGATCAATTAAAGTTGCACGGATGGTATGATCAAAATCTTGAAGGATGAACTCGAGTTAGAAGTAGTTATACGTACTGTCATTTTTTGCCACCAACTCAATCCATTGCTTGTCTTTTAAATTCCTTTTCTTTTTACTCCTAAGGAGCATGTTGAAACCTAATAAAAGGTTCTTCGATATTATGATCTTCGACATCATAAAAACCAGCTGAATGAATGATACTGGGCTCATCTATAACGTTTACAGCGATTTGCAAGCCGTAGAGAAACCACAAGAATAAACTTTCTGCGCACCAGCCGGGTTATCAGCGCACGGCAGTTCGCCGGGCCCGCTGTTTGTTCCGTGCTACTTGCCCTGTCGCGCGAGTCCGGTGAACGGACGGGTGGTATATACGAGTATGCTCGCATCAAAAGGCCGGGAAACCGACGCTTGAGATCAACTGATGATTCACCAAACGAACGGCTGATATATCCCATCAACTTGGAGTCATTCCCTAAACCACCTGTTATTAACTTTGAATCATATCAAGACAACATGACAAATTGATCATAACACAGACTTCATCCTGGACGTCCGTTAGGGTACTATGAAAGCTAATGAACACAGATGCAAAATGAGGTTGATCTACTTCTCGTTCAACACTGGAATTATCCCAAAAAAACCAATGATTGCTCAGCCCAAATAGACTCAGAAAAAACGACTTGGTTGATTCTCTTTGATGAACTCATGAATCACAATTCACCTAACATCACAACCTCATTTCTTGAAAACACTTCCTGTGATCGACACAAACTTTGCTGTCCGAATAGAAAAGCATAAAATTTTCACGGTACAGAGTGCTCACGAATTGCATCACGGCACATGGCCTAGGAAGATGGCTTGAAAAAACATGTTACATATGCATAATGTCAAACCATTAATATCACCCAAACGTAATTTGCTCCTCGTCTCCTTGAAATCAATCTAGTTAGCTTGAGGAGAAAATAAATAAAGCTGCAATTTCATAGTTCAGACACATGGTAACTGATGGGGGTAATAAATGGCGGCAAGACTCGCGCAGACGTCAGCTGTCCCAGACGACGCCTTACACCTCAAATGATCCGGCGGAACCTGGTCAGACGAACCAGAACGCGCATCGAGGCCCATTAACGACCCGTTCAGACTCGGTCCTTCACGCCACGCCAACACCAATGTCAGACGCTACCAGAAGAACGAGTTTGCTCCCTGCAAGCGGACACATCAGGAAACAGTAAGCTTCCCTATAAATACCCCCGCATTCCAAACGGAAAGGAGAGGGACGAACATAGATAACAAACTCCACTCCACATCACTAACTTGATCGTCGGAGGGGTCGGGCCGAGCTTCCGACCCGACCTATGTGCAGGTAAGGAGACGAAGCTATTTCCCCGGAACACAAGGAGAGGACGCCTTCCCCCTGGGACATCCCGACGAACCCAACGGTGATCTGGTCCGCGCGGTCGGTCACTCTGGCAATCCCGTGAGACCTTGAGCAAAGATCCCCGTCATTCAGCCCCGAACCAAGCCGCGTCGGCTCCGAGACACGACACAAAGTTGTTTACACCAACAGTAACAAAGCTACATGGGTTTGTACCGAGATCTAGAATCCTGAACGAAATGATAAAAACTTTTCTGATTAGTTGTGTGACAAATAGCTATTTTAGCAGGATTAAAAAAACTCTGACAAATGAACTTAACTGCAACAGCATGTTAAATCTGGAAAGTATATTTCCTACTTTACAGAACAGGATTAAAATGCTTAGAAATATGTGGGTTCTGAAGTATGATATTATAGAGATATCATGTGACGTTTGTAGGATTGGGTTGCCAATTTGTTGATGTGCCTCGCATACTGCGGAAAACCAGTTGAGAAGTTACAAACAGAGAGATGAATCGGTACACTCTGCTTTCACGCCTTTTGATGGGCAAAATGCCTCTTATTTTGACTATATTTTTTTGTTCTGCGATTATCCTACTCCTAATCACAAAAATGCAGCCACCTGTTCTGCTATGAATCCACGGTTATCTCGCTAATACAGCAGAGATGGGGTACTGCCCTTTATGTGCCATTAGGTCACACTTAATTTGATAAATTTGCACGACCACTGTCAGCAGAGTCTTATGCAGAACTAGTTGTAATATATCCTAAACATTCTTGGATTGCAACTAAGGTCCTAATAGCAAAAACTAAAAATAGAACAGAAACCTAGGTCCTGGTAGCCAGGTGGGTGAGCGGAAGAAGTTGGTTTCCAAGAAGTTGTTGATGTATAAAGGAAATATAACGACTTAGGAGGACCCTGCAATATCTTTGGCATGGCAATTTAACTTCCATTTTATTCCTTTTTCTTTTTGTGTTTTCCAGGAGAAATACAACAGCATAAAGATGCGCAACCCACCATATATTTCCTTTTCATCAAAAACATTCACTTCAAACTACAGATCATAATAGGGCAAATTATTTGACTTTTAAGGATCAAATAGAGGGGCCAAAAGGTTACAGATCGGGATGGTGAAATTAAAGTAAGGCTTCCCAACTGCTTGTGAATATGTAAATTGATATGCCATTACTGTATCAATCTCTTGGCTTTCTTTTTCTGGTGTGAGAAGGTAGAATATTAAACATCTTAGTTATGTCAAAACAAAGAAAAAAAATCATGTGTGGTGCCAGAAAAAGAAATAAATAAATGTCAACTAAAGGATGCAAATCAACTGTTTCAGATAAACGATTTTGTGCGTCCAACTATCTACCAGCTGGACACTTTCTAGGGCCGAGTTCCCATGCTTTTTGGACTTGAAACATTGTTCCTACATGTTACCATCTAATCACTTCTATCTTCTCGAAATAAATTTTATTTTAATCTTCGATATTAGAAAACCTTGAATTAGCATCACCTAGAGGATTTAAAAACATAACGTGTGGGTATAATTCAGAAAATGCTAGTGATATTTCCAACACACCGACCATGTGATGGTGCCTAGGTTAAAGTAGACACCAGATCATTTGGTCATAATGGTCATTTTCAGATAGATTTTGTTATTTGGGGACTGTTTATAACTCTAATCCACCTAACTCGCTCGAAACTTTTTTTACATGGGAAAATTCAGTCTACATGATTAAAAAAATGTTGCTAGTTTATATATATATATATATATATATATATATATATACATAAACAGAGAAAGAAACACGTCAAAGAAATCAACACAATCCCACGCAATGAATCAGGTGCTAACCTCATCGCTGCCCCTTCCGAAGACACACAGAAGAAAAACAATTTCCAGTGTAATGCATGTATATTTACACAAATGGAATGTAGAACAGAAGTGTTGTTTGTTAATGGATTATTTCATATTTGCATTTGAGGAAAAAGAACAATTGTCATTCTCTTTCTTTATACAAACAACATGAAACAGCGGAATCCACTACCGAATATTGTAAGATAACGAAAACTAATAATGCATCGCTCATCCTGAAGTAAACAAAGAGGAAAGATGATATATTGTTTCACAATTGATGGTAACAACGAGGGAATTCCCAAGAAAAGATATCAAATCAAGATCGTAATTGTGGGTGCTCCCACTTCAAGAACCACCCTATATCCATTCAAGATGCAACAAATCTAAGATTAGGTGCGTTCAATATCAATCGACCATCAAAATCCTAATCTCCCTAAATATCAACATTACGATAACTTAAAGGAACAAAAAACTGAGATCCTATTTGTAGGCCGTCACTCTACTAAATCCGCCTGATATCTTGGCAACAGATCAAGGATTAGATATTGTTAGAGCTAGCCCCAAGAAATTTACCAAATGATAATTTTGGCAACCCAACAAAGACATAAAACGGAAAAGATCTTCCTATCCGTAGCTACCTCCCGTAAAACCTCATCAGAGAGATTTAGAATAATCCTAGATCGGGCCTTCTTATCCATACCCGCAAGATCTTCCTTTGACATACCATCTGTACCATCTGGAATGTTCTCAATCAACTCTGTCTTGGACCAGAATGATCTCCATCTTGAGTGGCAACGTGCCGAAGTTCGAATTTCTCGACAACAATCTTTGTTATTGTTATCATTGCCAAAAGATCCCGAAACTAGACTCTGATACCAGTTTGTTAGAACTAGCCCCAGAAAATTTACCAAAGGGTAATTTTGGCAACCCAACAAAGACAATAAAGCGAAAAAGATAAAAGCAACAAGAACGCCAGATTTACGTGGTTCGGTCAATTGACCTACATCCACGGACGAAAGATGAGCAAATCACTACTATAAAATAAGGACTATTACAAATACCTTAGGAAGATGTTCCTAGGCCATAAAACACCCGAATCTATTAAACAAGAAAAACCCAAACTATAAGCCCAAACTATTTAACTGAGTGTGGACTTAAACCCAAAGCAAACACTTAGGGTTTTCTTGTGGTGCATCTGACTTCAAAGCCCAAACCCTTATTTATAGTTCCAATAGGAGATAACAAGTCTGATTTTCCCGATGTGGGACTATGGGACTTGCCAAACTAACAAATCTCCACCTTGGTATGTCCCAATAAAACTTGCTCCACCTTCTTCATAAAAGCCCCAACGAGCAATCACCAACAATAAACACCAACCAAGTCCAAGCACTGCTTGAACTTATAAACCGGAAGAGGCTTCGTAAGTATATCAACTGGATTGTCCTTCGTATGAATTTTCTGAACAAGGACTTTCCCCTCAGCAATGGTATCCCATTTGCATCCAATAATTTTATTACCCGAAGGCGGCTTCACAAGATCCCAAGTTCTATTCTGATGGAGAGATTATATTTTTTCATTCATCGCAATCAACCACTTAGCGGAATTATCATAAGAAACTGCATCTGAGTAGGAAGTAGGCTCACCAACTTCACTTGTTTCTTCTATAACAGACAAAGCATATGCAACCAAATTTGCATATCTTTGTGGTGGTCGAATATCTCTCCGTGGTCTATTATTGGCTATGGAATATTGCTCTTCCTCTAGATCATCTTCGTTAGTAGACTCGGGACCATCTACTGGCATCTTTTGAGTAGAAGAGTTCAACTTAAAAAAATCTGAACTACCAATCTCAAGCTCCACATGCTTCTGCGCATTATCATTTGTATAACTAGTAGATTCCTCTTTGGAAGATAACATAGACAATTAATCAAAAGTAACATCTCTACTGATTACAAATTTTGGGGATTTGGGATCAGAACACCATAATCTGTATCCTTTCACCCCAGAAGCATATCCAAGGAAAATATATTTTTTAGCTCGAGGCTCTAATTTTCCTTCATTTATATGCATATATGCTGAACATCCAAAAAATTTTAAATTAGAGTAATCGGCAGGAGTACCTGACCAAACTTCCTCCGGAGTTTTAAAGTTAAGTGCTACAGACGAAGCGCGGTTGACAACGTAACAGGCCATATTAATCGCCTTTGCCCAAAAGTCCTTTGTCAACCCTGCATTTGAGATCATACACCTTGCTCTCTCCAAGAGTGTTCTGTTCATATGTTCGGCCACACCATTTTGCTGAGGCGTTATCTTAACAGTGCGATGCCGAACGATTCCTTCATTTTTACATAATTCATCAAAGTCACATTCACAAAATTCCATGCCATTATCTGTTCGAAGCCGCTTAATCTGTTTACATGTTTGCTTCTCAATTAAAGTCTTCCATTGTTTAAAGGTTAGAAAAACATCATTTTTATGCTTCAGAAAATAAACCCAAATTTTTCTGGAATAATCGTAAATGAAAGTCAACATATACTTGGCACCAACCTTAGACTGAACATGAGCTAGACCCCAAAGGTCTGAATGAATATAGTCAAGAGTACCTTTTGTTTTGTGAACTGTCGGAGAATTGAAGCTGACTCTTTTCTGCTTTCCAAAAACGCAGTGTTCACAAAAATCCAGTGGCCCAGTACTCTGTCCGCAAAGTAGACCACTTTTGCTCAATATGCTCAAACATTTTTCACTCATATGACCCAAACGCATATGCCATAATTTGGTGATGTCAGAATCAGATAATGATGATGACGAGAGTGCAACTAAGCCCGTGACAGTAGTTCCCTGCAAAATATATAAGCTACCAGACTTACAAGTTTTCATAACAACAAGAGCACTTCTAGAAACTTTCATAACTCCACCTTCAGTTGTATATTTACACCCAAGGGCCTCTAGGGTGCCTAAAGAGATGAGATTCTTTTTTAAATCAAGAACATGTCTAACGTTAGTGAGCGTCCTCACAATACCATAATGCATTTTAATTAAGATTGTTCATCTACCAACAACATCACATGCTGCATTATTGCCCATCAAAACAATTCCACCATTACAAGATTCATATGTAGAAAACAAATCTCTATTAGGACACATATGATAATAACAACCCGAATCTAAAATCCATTCATTTTTAGACCTCGTCCTGTCATCAGTAGCAAAGAAAATATTTCCATCATTCTCATCAGTTGCTATACTAGCTTCAGCAAACTCAGTAATTTTCTCAACAATTTATTCCTTTTGCTTTAATTTATTTTTAATTTAAAGCAATCAGCCTTAATATGCCCCATTTTATGACAATATCTGCATTCCAAATTTCTATGTCTGGATTTAGATTTAGATTTAGATCTACTACTATCAAATTCTCTTTTATCCATTCTACCACTAACATCCAGACTCTCAACCTGATTCTCTCTACTTTCCCCAGTGATATCTTTGTCTATCTGCTCCTTAGATTTTAATACAGATTTAATTTCCTAATACAAAATTGTTTCTTTTCCATAAATCATAGTATCACGAAAATGCTTAAAAGATTGGGGAAGAGAACACAAAAATAACAGGACTTTATCCTCATCATCAATTTTTGCATCTATATTTTCCAAATCCATAACCAAGGAATCAAACTTATCAAGATGTAAGAGTATAGATGTACCTTCAGTCATCCGAAGCATATACAAACTCTACTTTAAGTAGAGGCGATTCTCTACTGTCCTCTTCATATACAAGGCTTTAAACTTATCTCACATGCTCTTAGCCGTAGTCTCCGTAGCTACCTCCTGTAAAACCTCGTCGGAGAGATTTAGAATAATACTGGATCGGGCCTTCTTATTCATACCCGCAAGATCTTCCTTTGACATACCATCTGAAATGTTCTCAGTTCCCTGTAGTGCCACATACCGAAGTTGACATTTCTGTCGAATTTCTCGACAACAATCTTTGTTATTGTCATCATTGCCAAAAGATCCAGAAACTAGGCTTTGATACCAGTTTGTTAGAACTAGCCTCAGGAAATTTACCAATGGATAATTTTGACAACCAACAAAGATAATAAAACAAAAAAGATAAAAGCAACAAAAACATCTTATTTACGTGGTTCGGTCAATTGACTTACACACACGGACGAAAGAGGAGCAAATCACTACTATAAAAGAAGGACTATTACAAATGCCTTAGGAAGATGTTCCTATGCCATAAAACACCCAAATCTATTAAACAAGAAAAACCCAAACTATAAGCCCAAACTATTTAACTGAGTGTGGACTTAAACCCAAAGCAAACACTTCGGGTTTTCTTGTGGTGCATCTGACTTCAAAGCCCAAACCATTATTTATAGTTCCAATAGGAAATAACAAACCTGATTTTCTCGACGTGGGACTATGAAACTTACCAAACTAATTACCCACGAAGAAGACATCGCTCACAAGAAAATCAAATCAAGATTCTAATTATTTGTGCTCAAACTTCGAGATCCGTTGGACATCCACTCAACATATCTTATACAGGATCTTACACTCGGAACCTTAACTTCCCGAGTACCAAGAAGACATCACCGTAGGACAAAACCAAGATCCTAATTGTTGGCGCTCGCACTATGAAAATCGCACGATAGATCTATGAAGCTAACCAAGCGAAACCCTCCTTTCCCGAAGAAACGAACAAGAAATCGTCCACAAGACATCAAGACATCGAGCCAGACAGACAAGCTCATCGAGATTACCTCGAAGATTCGCAAGATGCCTGCGGCGGCAGCATAGGTCTCGTCGAGAACCTTGAAGAAGCAAGAACCGAGGAGGCTCCTGATGGGCTCGGAGAGCGAAAAAACCAGATTGAGGAGAGAAAGAGCGATAGGCAAGCGAGGAAGTTGAGGGTTTCGCTATTTGTGTTCGAACGGCATAATTCGAATTCCTTTTTCTTTTTCCCTCCCAAACCGCCTAATTATATTGCGATTTATATAGAAAAATGTACTTGGAGAAGAGATCACACGGGCGCACGAAAGACAACGCGAACCGTTATGATCCAACGGCCCTCACAATGCCACCTCGGCACGTAATCTCACCTCGTTTGTCTGAATGGTTTGTGTTCGCCGTCGGGCGCTCCAGGAGCCGTACGGGAGACACCGTCCTCCACCACCCAGCTGTTCCACGTCATCCAGCCAGGCCTCGGGCGGTGCGAGAGAGCCCTGCGCAGGTGCAGCAGGCCCCGTCTTACCCCATACGCGGATTCCGCGAGTTGCTTACCTGCCTCGCGGATGGTCGCTGCGTGTGGGACCCGCTGGTCTAATCCGATCGCAAGGCAGAGAACTTTGGGTCTCGAAAGAGGTTCTTTTCCATGTGTCAGATTCACCAGGTGATGTGGGTCCCTGAGCCAACGTGGCGGACCAGTGGCTCCTGGCGTCCGTACCTGCCTCGCGGATGGTCGAGCGATTGGTACCCCACTCGTTGGATCCAATCGCAAGGCGGAGAGAACTTGGGGTCCAAGGAGGGGTTCCTTCATGTGTCAGGTTCGCGACATATGAGGTGGGTCCCTGAGCCGACGTGGCGTGCCAGGGCATCAGCCTGCGAGTCTTTGATACCTCCCCTTCTCTCTCGACCAAAATAAAAGAATAAATGCCTCTTTTCACAGTGAATTCCTACCCTCGTTGTCTCTAGTTTTGGTCGAACACAACTGCTGATCATAATTCCGCCCTAAATCAATGGACAATTGAGCTACAGGAATTGTGGGCTTATGACACTTTTCCTAAACTGATGGGTTCCAAAGCAAAAGCCGAAGGTTAGTCCCGGATGCTGCCATCATGTTCCTCGTAGATGCGACAAAGAGACGCACCGACATCCCTACGCTGTAGCCAATGGCAAAATATGCTTCTGGTCTGAAGTAGCAGTCAAGTCAATTGAACTGAAGCACGGGGCAAAACAATACTTACGATTGCTTGTAGGCAATCTAACTTTTCAGATGTCGATAGGGGCTCATTGCATCTCTCGGCTTTCTTGTGCTCAACCTTACCATAGCATACCAAATCACACAGCCACCGAATGCTGTGCGGATGGAGCCAGGGGAATCCTCTAAATTATCATGGGCAAGCTTGCAAGTCAACATTAACGTCTCCAGCCAGACACAATTTCTTGCATGCTTTCTACAGAAAGTTCAGTACGAGAAGATAGCACAAGTAACAAAGAGGAAATAGGTTCGGATATACTTATTACCAAACTACAACAATAACTGTTTCACAACTACGAGATGACATCAAAAGCACCACAGAATGCCTCAACCAAATGGCTCTGAAAGTATCGCTGGTGTCCTCAAAGAAGACCTCAAACAAACAAGAACATCCAGTTATCGGTTCATGACTTCAGAGAAAGGCTTGACGACTCCTCGCTCAATCATCTGCAGAGATACAATTCGAGGATAAGGATCTGGAAGAGGGCATACCAACCTTGGAAATCTAGAATCACAGTGGGGATCGTGGTTCAGGATGGAGACCCACCATTCGGGGACCGGGAAGAGGTGCTGGAGAAGTCTGATGAGGCTATTGGAATGGAAATAGAGAGCTGGGTGGTGGAAAACGAGGTCCGGTTTGATCTGTCTTCTTCAAGATCTGACCAAGAATCTCTGGTCTTTGGCCATTCATCAAAAAAGGGCCGGAGCAACTGCGTTTCATGCTTCACGGGCTCCGACGAACCAAACTCACTTCCAAAGAAAGAATGATGCTGCTGTTGCTGTCGAGAGAGTGAGTTGATTGTAACCTGCCCAAGATCCTGCACTGACTGAAGTTGTGGGTAGGCATTCTGCAGAATGGAAAGGTCATGTGTTTTTGACAGAGAAAACGAGGACACTGGTGGTGGCATTGGGCGCCATGAGCTGTCCAATGATGAGTCCACCCCAAGGGCCCTAGCAGTGCCAGACGCTCCAGAAAAGAAACTGTGCTCATCCGCATCAGGTTTAAGTCCAGAGAAGTACCTGCAAAATTAGATCCATTACTCCCTAATGAAAGCACAATAAAAAAATCCAGCATATGAAATACAAAATTTGATGGAAAACTAGTAGGAGCCAGAAATTTCCATATAGGTTTCAAAAATCCCTAACACAAGTAAAACTGGATAATGACTCCATTACTACATGCAGCTTTCTTGCTCTATTCTTTTTTTCTGAGTGATGCTTCATCTGATCAGCAATCATACTTCTTTTTGCTTCAAGTGATACATTCTAGAACACAACGTTGAAATACATTATCACAAGCATGCTTATTTCACTCTTCAATTCAACATGAAGAATCAAAACCCATGCTTAAACTTGCTTCATCATAGACCATTATAGAAGTGTAGTTTGGTTGTTAAGTCGAGTAATGATATACATTAAACTGTTAACAAAGAATGTCAAAAGCACAATCTTTTAATGTTATCACATCAAACAAAAACAGGGCACTATTAACAATCGAAACTCTTAAGCTCTAAAATGGACCAAGAAATCCAACTACGCATACTTCTTCCATCAATCGAACGAGGATATTTAACAGATTGATTTGTTTCCCAAGTACATGGGGCATTGCAATTTGCAAGCACTGAAAACAGTGCAATCTCTGAAATATGTAAAAAGAAGATGAATGCAATGAGCCTTTTTCTTTGCAGGCAATATAAACTTACCCCGTCCAAAGATTAATCTCAGTTTAACTGGCTTCAATGAGACAAATAATGAAAAAAAAAAAACTTACTAGTCATTATATCTATACAAGCTCCTGAAAACATTCTCCAACCAGAAGCTGCGAAAAATAGATATTCATGTGATAAATAGGTGACAGATATGCCTCTCCGTTATCAGGAATTTCTAATTTCTATCCGGAAACATAATGCTTACTGTTGCCTACCAATTTCGCTGCAATAAGCTGAGACTGAAAACGAATATGGCCATTTACCAACAAATACTTAACAGGAGCAAGTTTATTACATAACGTGGAAAGTTGGCAAAGATAGAAGCATGCATGTTAAACCAAGACATAATTTAGAAAAGTAACTTAGCATTATCTAATATATTGATCACTAGACTTCACTAGATGCAGAGAAGATTATGGCTAGAATGCATACTTTGACTGCACTCAGAAAAAGGGGGAAAAAAAACTCCTCCCACCTCTCAAATGGAAAAAACTCTTAAAATAGGAAAAGCAGCCAAATATGCAGCTAAGGCACATCCAAAACATATGTTAAACTAGCAGTCAATCTCCCAATCTGCGGAATGCAGAGCTTGGGCAAAGCCTGCACTAGGACCAAATAAAAGATCCTGTGCAGCTTGTAAAAGATTCAGACAACTGCAAGTAGAATCTGAAAATTCATGAGAATTGTCAGACTTTAAACCTGGAACATCTAATATCCACAAGGGAGAAAAAACTTCCAGTTCTTCCAGTACTGACAACAGGAGCATGGACTCAGAAGGTTTTTCTCTTTTTCAAAAGATGGGCTCCATTGGGAGCATATTGGGAGGGTCAATGGATCTAATCCTACCCCTGCAAAACATTGCTGTTAGTCTACAATTTGACCAAAATGGTTGGCTGTGAATTGATAATGTATTATACCCTACACTCGGATGAGCAGCTGTTCTATAGAAACTCAGGTGGAACCATGGAAGTCTAGAGACTATAACACGTTACAGAATTTGGCCATGTACTCCCAACATATCATCATTTAGGTTTGAGCCTACATAAAGCATATATTCTCCTTTTATCACACATGACCAAATTCCAAATTACATGATTAAATTATCTAACAAACAGAATCACCATATTGAGATTTTGATCCTGAACAAAAAAAAAGAACAAATAATTGTTTGTGTTGAAGTAAAACAAAAAAAGGAAAAAAAATACCTATTTCCAAAAGTGCCAGTGTCCATGGGTAGCTGAGATGAACTAGCACCACCAAAGCACAAACTCTGTGCATTGCTTGGCCCTGTGATCGGCTGCAGGGTGATGCCCCTGAAGCTTCCAACACCGGTGCCGCTGGCATTGCTCGCAGAGGGAGAGAGGGATGTCAACACCGATGAGGAAGTCTGGGATGGAGCGACAGTTTGTGATTCCACAGGCTTTCTTGAACGGTTGCGGCCACGGTGCATGTGGCGCTCACAATACTTGGAACCAGGGTACGCGTCCTTAGAGCAACGCCACTTTTTTCCGTCGGTGCGACGGCATCGCCCTGGTTCTGGGTCCGGTTTCTTCCCGTAGTATGAATAGTAACTCACTGAATCCAAAGGAAAACATTGCAATAATAATCTAAAAGGCGACTTTTGCAAGGCGAGATCTAACAGAGAAGAATGGAGAAATAAAAGAGGCCATGATGATCCAGTTGACTACTAGCAGCAGTCGAGGAACTTATGCCCAAAGGTTCTGAGACTACCCTAAATACCAATCAAAATCTAAGAAAAAGGATATGAAAGTTTCTATAGCAGCAAAACAGATCACATTGTGCAAAACTATCACATAAAGCCACAAAGGCAAACAAGAAAGCTCCAAGAAAGAGTTGAAAACTACCAAAAAAGGGTAATCAAGAATCGAGATCCCACAAATTTTAATGGAGGAAAGACTGCCAATAATTACTGCAAATAGCAAGAACTTCCCAACCGCGTCCCCTAGGCAACTTCAACATGTCATGACCATTTCCCAACAAGCTAAATTTCTTTTCACAGAGAGAAGTAGAACAGATCCTATCTCTCCGCACCTATCAATCGAGAAATCGTAAACATGACGATTAAGATTATCAAATCTAAGCTAATATTGTCCACAAATAAAGAAGACCACCCAAGAAACCAACCAAAAAGCCCAAATGAAGAGCAACACATGAAAAGTTGTCGACTTTGGGAGCGCAAACCCATGGGAGAAGTTAGAAACCACTGCAAACAAATGATCGCCCAGAACTGTACCACATCGTAGCCAAACAGTCGACAAATTGATGCGGAAGCTGAGAAACCCTCGATTCAAGAAAGGGACTAACTTTGAAACAACCCTGAATCGTAAAAGCTTCAAGAGGAAACAACCGGCAGCAGCAAAATGGGGAGAAGAGGACGAAGAGAACGTTCCAAGAGAACAAAAGAAAAAGGACTTGGCCTCGGCGCCGGCCTCTTACGCGAAGGGTGGTAGTATCTGCCGGGCAAGGTCTCGAAGCTCCTCCGGATGGGAATGATGAGCTCCGGCGGCACGGGAACCCCCGCCATTAGGTACTTTAAGATCAGCGCCTGGTGCTCCAGCTCCTGCCACTGTGTCGCCGTGAACGGCGGCCGGCCCCCGACCACCGCCGCAAAGCTGTTCATCGCCTAAGGAGAGACAAGAACGAGAGCGAGAGCGACAAGAAGAAGGCCCCTCGTCCTCCAGCTCACTCATGGCCGAGGGCGGGAGGGACGCTCGCATCCTCCACCGGTGAGGGGAAGCCGTCAAGTTTCGCCATTTTCGGATGGGGAAAGGCCGAAGTGTTGCGATGCGGAGAGAGACGGTGGCAGTCTTATAGGGTAAAACGCAGGGACTAATAATAGACCACGGAGAAGGGCGACTATGAAATATAGTGAATCATCATGGGTTCAAATGCAAAAACCTACTGATACATACATGCCGAGGAAGTAAAACGATGAAAGATCGAGGGGCAAAGTGAAAAAATGTATATCCAGTGCCATCTAAAATAAGTCAAGTCTATATGTCATGGTTTATTGAGTCGGATACAAATCTCGTCTGCAATCTAAGCTTAGGTTTTAACGTGCGGTACTAATCAAGACAACGTAGACATTCTTTTTGGATTTCTCAGCAAAGGTGGCCCACGGGCTTATAAGTTAGGTCTGAGAACCAAGCCGAGTGATGACCTAACGTGCAATGCCATATACGATGATACCCCTTATGGTCGATTCACATGCGTGATGCTCTCGACGCATTTACCATCTGGATGACCATGAGTGAAGAACGGGAGTAGTGAAGCTAAAGGCTCAAATAATTGATATGGAGGCATGTGGGTTTTATGACTCGCATGAGCCCACCACATCTTTTGGTGGAGGAGTACTATTATGAGCTCCACCTTGGCCAAGTTGGAATCTTCTTGCTTGTGTACCCCGGTAGCTTTTTCTTCTGCTCCTTTTCCTCTCCTGTGTCAAACATGGAATCAAAGTGAGAGGAGGGGAAGTGGGTTACTCTCGCACTTGATGCTTTTGGTGGGGGGGGGGGGGGGGAGGGAATCGATGGCCATGACTTATCCAACACTCCTCCAAAGATGTTGCTTCCTTGTGATCTTTGCCTGTTGGCGTTGCGGCGGCCCCACGGCTGCAGCTCGAAATGGTGAAGGGGGAGGAAGGAAGAGATGGGAAGGGGCGAAGGAGTCTTGTTTCTCCCTCCTCCTCCTCCTCCTCCTGCTGCTGCTCCTCGCACGACAGCAAGTGCATGTGATGGGTACGTCCGCGACCGCCCTCAAAGAGAACCTCTGCTTCGGTGTTACGTAGTTTTCGGGTGGCCGGTGCTACAGGGACCATCGTTTGTCGGTTGTTGTGAACCTAGTAAGGAGGGATGAAGGGTACACTACAGTAGAGAGAGAGAGAGAGAGAGACATTATGTATCTGCAAGTTCAAGCAATTATGTGCCTGGAAGAAAAGAATGCTATCTGCAAGGCTCCAAGGAAGCATAGAAGAAAGCAAGAATATAGGTGAATCACCAAAGAGACCTGATGCAATTGAGATGGTGACTTCAGGATCCAGGTCTCGTTATTAGAGGTCAAGTGACATAAATCTTACGAGAACTGCGCCAAGCATCCATCGAGAAAGAAAGCACCAGCTCCTCTTTTTTCTTAGCTACAAAAGCCATTAATGCACAACATTTCTACACTCCAAAGTTAAAACCAGGTGGGGCCTCCAGAGAACAATGTATGTATGGATGCCACATGACATGCATCAATGAGAAAAGAAGATTATTTTGTCTAAACCAGAGATATCATCCAGAAAACTCTTTCCTTTTTCCCTACTTCCTTCCACGTGTAGGAAAGAGAGATATCCACCCAATATACTGACCTATAGTGCAGGAACTTTTGAGACCAACAAGAAGAAGGTAAGTTATTTACCTTCTCTGCAGACTGCAGGTGAGGTATGAACCAACTCATTCTAAACAAAAAAAAAGCCTGCAAGCACATAAGAACTGACACATCTGGGAGTCACACAAAGTCTTCATCTGAGCTTGTAATCAACCCTATCAGTATTTGTTCCATGTCGATGCAACATACTTCTGTAGCTAAGCAGTCGGCCAAAGCAGGAACACCAACGCTCCCAAGAGGAGAAGCCGTACTACCTGATCCGAGAGACTGTTCGTAATCCGAGCAACCTCATTCACTAATCAAGCAATTCATGTGAATAGGAAGAAATCAAATCATACTTCTTTAACTGAGAAACAAGAACAGGCCTCTTACGTGTGTTTATTTGTATACATGAATCTGTAACCAATGCTTACTACGCCAGAGTTACGTTATATATATATATATATATATATATATATCCTCCTGATGATTATTCACGAATCAAACAGTGGCTGACGTTGATCGTGTTCCAAAAAATGCCAAAGAGAAAAAGATGATCAATGAGCTAAAATGACGCTCTTTTTAGACTTGTAACCTTCATGTATAAGAAGCCACAAATGACTACTTCTATCAAAACGTTTTGATGAAGTATTTAATGTGGTCAAGCACTTAAAACTCTTTTGTTGATTCTTTGTAGTACGTGTAAATCTATTTGGTTTCCTCCTATTTATAGAAATCCTTGTTAACTTAACCATAATGGATACTATCTTATTGGGTATTGGATCTCTATCTAACTACCCAAGTCTCTTATATTAGTGAATTTCTACCCAATAATATTTTATTAGTACTAGTCATAGGTGCTCTGTAAGCCAATCATGACACGTGTGACTTGATATATAATCTTTTTACTTATTATTATTATTTAATATTTTATCATTTTATATTACCTATTGCTTGAATATATTATGATGTTCATGGATCTATGCAATGAGAATCGAATCGTGATGATAAGATCACGATAATGAGACCGATTCGTCTTTAAACACAGATCCTAAATAATTCCGGTCATAAGTTACTGGAGAGGGACATCAAGATAACCGGACAAATTGGTATGCTATATACTCGTCCATATGATGGATGCAACTGATCTCATAGCTACTCGTGTGGGGACACTAGGGATACAGTACAAGTGCTCATTAGAGAATGAGTTCACTGATTGATCCGCTTATGAAATATTGGATGATTGATGATGCCTTATTGTCATACAGTGATTTCGTAGTTTTAGTGTTGTATCTGGTCTTTAGACTTGAGACACTAAGGATATCCTATATGAGTACTCCATTATTTGATATCAGACTTATAGGTCTGGAGGTTTCAGATATAGCACAGCCGGTCATCGGGAGTGGTAGCCAACTTTACAAGGACTATTGAGTGTCGATAGATGATCATCCACTCTCGATGTTATGAGAGAAAAATCTTATATATTCTTGCTAAGACAAATCTCTAACCATGGTCATTCCGATTGAGAGAGAAAAAGTTCTTTAGGAGAATCCGATTAGAGCAGGACTCGAGTAGAAACTATATAGGTCTGATAGCACCATGTCCGATATACGGTCTCTAGGATATTAGATAGATGAAGGACTATAAGTACATGATAATTGTGGACAAATAGGTCCAATGGATTGGATTCCCCTATATCGTCTACGGACCGCGGCGCAATGGTCTAGTACGTTCGCAGTCGATGAGTCGAGTGAATTATTATGAAGATAATAATTCATTGAGCTAGAAGTAGTTCTAATAGGTATGACTCACAGCCAGTTCGATATTGGGCCTAGTGGGTCATACACATATGACAGGCGTTGCGATGAGTAGAGGTTCGGATATGAGATATCCGCCGAAGCTCCTATCTTATTAGATATCTAATAAGCCTCTGAATTACTAGTTCCTATGGATGAGATCCAATAAGGGCCAATGAGAGATTATTGGATAGAGATCCACTAATCTAAGAGGCTTGAATAGTTAGATTGAGATCCAATACTCAATAAGGCAGGATCCATTAGGGTTATATTGATAAATGACCTCTATAAATAGGAAGGAACCAATGGTTTATAGGCTAGAGCCTCTCTTGGTTATCATCTCCATTCTCCTCCTCATATAGCACGCTTGAAGATTTGAGGAGTATCGTCGTAGACTTGTTATGCGGATCACCATTAGAAAGGATGGTGTTTGACCTCATTTATCCACTCCTATAGATCTACAGGAATTTAGGGATATGCGATCTCCCTAGGCAAAACACTATCTCACATGTGGATTTAAGTTTCGCTGATTTTTACGCATCAATTTTTGCATGACGACAAATACATCTTTGGAAAGTTTAGGGATTTTGTTTTTTATTCTTTCGCTACCCTAAGGTTATATAAGGAATCTCCTTTTAGCACCAAAATATTATAGGAAATCATCATCGAAGTCTAATTCAATCGGGCATCGTCCAAACCCAAAGGTGTATGAGTATTCTGATAAGACCCTAAGGTCTTATCGTCAAAGAAAGAATAGAAAAGGGAATGATCGCTTCGGGGGGATTGGCCTCCTTGATCACTTCGAGGGGATCGGCCCCCTAGAGTTTGTCATAACAAACTAGAATAATATTTTAGTGATTGATTGATTCCTTAAAAGAAAGGGTTACATCACTATTTATAGAGTTCCACCAAGAGTTTGCTAGGACTTGAACTCTTAATAATAAATAAATATTAAATAAATCTCTACATGATTCTAACTGAACCAAACAAACTCAATAAACAATTGGACTAAATAGACTCAATAAATATTATCCAAAAGCTCAGAAAAATGGTCGTAATAATTCCTTCCTCTTTAAATCAACCTTGTCCTCAAGGCTGAGCAGCATCAACTCGGGGAGCTTCTCTTTCAGCACTTCAGTCATAGGCTATCTACAATGCATTATAATTCGTTGATCAAGTAAGTATGGTCTCCACTTTTTGATAGTGTAAGCAACAAGTTGATTTTTCAGTGTTGTAATTATTGCAAGAAACTCTTGGTCCTGTATAATCAATTTTATCTTTAAATATTTGGTATCATAAGTTAAAATTTATCCTTCAGCGATCTTTACTTCGAATTTGTCAGAGCCTTCAATGTGGTAAGCTAATCGGGCTGCAACTTTCCTGTCCATAAAATTATTAATACTATCAGTATCAATCAAAACTATAACAAGCTGATATTCCATAGTTCCACCAACTTCCATAGTCGGCTAATACATGTTCATTAGAATTTACACCTTTCATAGTTTGCGGGTTAGTATGGTAGGTCCAACATCTTCATTAGAATTTACACCTTTCATAGTTTGCGGGTTAGAATAGTCGGCTAATACATACATTGTATGTATGATAGGTCCAATATCTTCATTATAATTTATGCCTTCATGATCGGAGTCCACATTCTTAGCTT